AATTTTGTTTATTGTTTCGAAGGCGGTTAAAAAAAATGAGGAACTTGAGGAAGGGGCAGGAGGGGTGGAGTAAGTAAACAAAAGCTCAGCGATCATCGACGCCTCAATGAAACGTTTTTTTTTTTCGCAATGAAATTAGTATTCAGTTACCATACGGACAACAGCAAGTTAAACAAAAAAACAACCAGGCCGGATGCGGCCAGAGTGAAGTCTGGGCCAGAAGAGCCTTCGATTCGACTGGGGAGCTTGGAACTGGGATCAGCCATCAAGAATCATCATCTCTGCATATGCAAAGTAAGTTTAAAAATAAATTTCACTGAAAAAAATTGAAGGTTTCCAAAACAAAGCAACTCTCCAAGTGAAGTCTCTCCATTTCAAATATTTAATAAATAGTGCTTGATTGAGATCTATCCCACACAGTATACCATAAAGCTAAAACCACATTTTATAAATGTATGTAAAATTTCTCCAAGTGCATTGAAACATTTCCGAATTCCAAGGCGAATTCATTAATGGGATGTCACCGGAGAGTGACAGACCAGAGCACCCCTTTAATGGCAACCGAACTAGATGTCCTCAACTGGGATTCGAATGGAATATTTTGTATATTATGGCATGGAGCTAGTATATTGGGGATTTTACTCGAGAGAGTGAGGGGAGTGAGACTGGCGCGTATTGGATTTCAACATGCAATGCACGCGGCGCGGCATGCGGCTGCATATCTGCAACGCCATCTCTCAGATACTTGGGTATCCCGGCCGGTCTTCCCCGGACTTGCCTCTTGGCTAACAAGTTGCTCCACCGCAAGTGCCCGCCCGCTGATTGACATGTGATCCTCATCTTCATCGTATCCTCAACAAAGTTTCTATGGCTTGCAAATCGCAATCCTTTTTTGAATACCCTTTCAAGGGGGGTTTTGAAAAATGTACCCTTTTTGGGAAAAAACATCTTTAGATGAAAAATATCAATATCTTTAAAATGGTGTCTTGAAACCTTTTTAGTAGTTATTTGAATAAAATAATAAGGTTCTGGAATTTAAACCAACTGAAGTATTTTTATCTTTAAATTCTAAAAATGTGGAAGTGCTTCTTGAAAAGCTCTATCCCCTTTCTAGAAGTATCAGCCCCTAGGAAAAAGGGTATTTAAATTCTGCATCTTTCCCCAAATACCCTCCTGGGTTAACCTGTTGTTGGTTCTTCTGCTGAGCCGCTGCTGCTGCTCATTTGTCATTCAGGCGAAACACTCAGGAGTCGTAAAGTAAGCTCCGTTCCGTTCCAGTCTTCTGCATCCAGAAGACCAGGGAAATAATCTCGAGACGCAGTCGCTGCAGTCATAAAATTATGATCGGTATGGTCTCTGGGAAATTTGAACTGCGTCCCATTTTTTTTGCCAGCATTTTTTAATTATTTTCGAGTTTAGTTTTTCGACATGGAACATGGATTTCTGTTGTATTTCATGCAACACCTTGTCCCCTGATTTCCTGGAACCTATGCCTGGGACATTCCTGGCCTGCGTTTCGCGGGAAATTGGCGAACGAAATGCCGTAATTAAAGGCAGAGTCTCTCTAAAAAAAAAAAAATAACCAAACACAAAACCCAAGTAATAATAAACAGAAGTCCATTCACGACTGGATGCTAAGCATGCTTCGCCTTACACACATCTCGCCCATTCAGATACATACGTATCTTATGGATAAAGACAAACCAATCGGATTCAATTCAAAACCGTTTCAAACGCAGACGATAGCCAGAGACGTGTCATTTTTCACAAACAACGCCAGTCTAGCTAGCTTGGCCCGCTCGTTTTCAATGAAAATTTCCACAATTTCCTCAATGGGATTCGGTCGGTCATGAGACGGAGTGTGTGTAATACGATCGTACATTTCTTTAGCCAGAAACCCTGCAACTTCAAGTGGGAGAAAAGTCAAGGCGCCTCGAACAATTACATATGGGTGTTCAAGATATCGAAAACCCGAATTAAGATAAAGTCAGATACATAAAGTATTTTGATATCAGCTTGGAAAACTCATTGATATGAATTTGTTTAATTGATAATCAGGAAAACGACACCAAGTCTCTGGGAGGTTATCTGAAGAACTCATTAGGTTTTCAACAAATTAGTATAGGCCTTCCGTAAGATAATTTAGATTATCGAACCTACTTTACAATATCAATTATTAGTTTCAGTTTTCAACAGATTTGGATATATATTTTGAGTTTTTTTTTTAATACTCACGAAGTGGCAATTAATCAAGCCCTCGTTAAACCCATCTTCATGTCTTGTATTTATTGTGGAACTCATTGCGGAACCTCCCGTTTCCCACAAGATACTTTTCATTCATTTTCACGCTCATTCAAAAATAAGGGAAAAAAGAAAAACTCTCTCGCGAGACAGTGGAGAGCTGAAATTGGCGAGAGAAATGCTGCCGACCAATCAGAGCGCACTTTCCCCTTTGCTAAAGCCCGAAGTGTCTACCTGTCTGCGAGGTGGCTATTTGCGGATTGTGGTGAGTGGAATGCATTTTGTAGAAACCATTTTTGAAGAGTTTTTAAGCCGGGTCTACAAAGGAGAGTTTTTGTCTGGGAATTATAAAGTCTGGGGAAATAGTGGAACTTGGATTGTTTCTACGCACTGGACTCTGTGGAACGTAAGCCAAGACCACAAAATCATCTTTTGGTCTGTGAGGTGAATTTTAATCTCAACAAAGATTTAAGGAAAAAAGTTCTGAAATGATCGAGATTAAAAGTGAAGTGCTACGCACATTAATTTCAATTTTATTATAATGTGTATAAAATATATAGAATTGTATGCTAAAATATTAGACCAAAAACTTTTAGGACCCTGTTATTTTGTAGTCTGAACATATTTATTTCCTTTTCCTTTTCAAACTGAGTTGCATATTAAGTTGCGTTCCAAATTAAATTTTAATATCAATAAATATCTGGCATCCCTGTATACGAGTCGATATGAGGGCATCTAAGACGACAAATTGGACTGTCGATAGACTGCTTTTCGATAAATTGATACTTTGAAACTCCTATAAAAGGCGCTCATCACAAAAAAAGTTCAGTCTGCTGCTGGACTCCGAACTCAATTAAGTTGAAAATATTCTGTCCGGAAAATATATACTTATTTTATTTTTTTTTTCTTTTCTGAATTTAATATTTTATATATTTCTGTATTCATGGAATATAAAATAATACGACATAATGTTTGGTTGGATACTGGATATTAATAAATAATTGTTTTTATTTTTTCATTTTTTGTCTCAATAATTTAAAATGTTTTTCACCCTACTTTTTATTTAATTATTTTTTTAAGTCATTTCCCTAAGGCCCTGGATTTTCAGTTTTCTGGGGCTTATAGGATCTGCTTCTAACAATGTAGGTCTGTGCCAACTATATTCGTAAAGCAACAATTGAAGATTTTTTCCAAATAATTTTTTTGTCATTATTACCGGTGGTTTTTCTAACTCCCCTTCGATCACTACTGTTGGTAGTTTATTTGCTCGTTTAGTTTTATTTTTATTTATTTTCATTTAAGCAATAATGGAAGATTTTGCTTTTCAATGATTTCTTTAGTCACTATTACTGATTTGTTTTTCCTTTATCGGGAGCATTTTCCTTTATAGTTTTTTTTCTCGTATTATTTTATTTTTATATTTTTTTTTTTATTTTATTTGTTTATAGTATTTTATGTCTTTTATTTTATTTTGTTTAATAAAGGATTTTATTTTATTATTATTTGGCATCTTAGGTAAGATGCATTACTTTTCTACCACAGAAACTCTCCAATCGTGCCAAGCTGTGGATCAGGCTTAATGTGGAATACGTTTGTAGATGGAGGGGCTTTTGTGGTGATATTCGAAAAAAGATTCACAAGCCTGCCCGTTTCAATTATAGGTTCAGGTCAAGTTTTTTATTGTTTTTTTTTTTTTTGTTTTATATTTTCTCAAAAGTTGCTTATCTTTTACTAGAAAGATTTTGGATTCGAGGGTCTCTTAAAATTGTTCATCAAATGGGTTTATAAAACAAAATTATTCTTCAAAGTCATCAAGGTCTATTTTTTTTTTTTTTTTAAATAAGTTCTTGAAAGTTGCTTATCTTTCACTAGAAGGATTTTGGATTCGTGGGTCTCTTAAAATTGTTCATCAAATGGGTTTATAAAACTAAATTATTCTTCAAAGTCATCAAGGTCTACTTTTTTTTTTTTATTAAATATGTTCTTGAAAGTTGGTTTTCTCCCCCTGCTAGATGGTCCAGAGCCTGGGTCTCCTAAAATTGATCATCAAATGGGTTTATAAAACTAAATTATTCTTCAAAGTCTCCAAGGCTTACCTTTTTTTTTTTTTAAATATATATGTTCTTAAAAGTTTGTTTTCTTCTACTAGAAGGATTTTGGATTCGTGGGTCTCTTAAAATTGTTCATCAAATGGGTTTATAAAACTAAATTATTCTCCAAAGTCATCAAGGTCTACTTTTTTTTTTTTATTAAATAAGTTCTTGAAAGTTGCTTTTCTTTCACTAGAAGGATTTTGGATTCGTGGGTCTCTTAAAATTGTTCATCAAATGGGTTTACAAAACTAAATTATTCTTCAAAGTCTCCAAGGTTTATTTTTTTTTTATTAAATATGTTCTTGAAAGTTGGGTTTTCTCCCCTGATAGATGGTCCAGAACCTGGGTCTCCTAAAATTGTTCATCAAATATGTTTATAAAACAAAATTATTCTCCAAAGTCGCCTCAGGTTTATTAAAACCAAAAAAAAAAAATATCAAAATCTTGTATAAAATCCAATTTCCCCTCTTTAATTCCGGTTTAAGCATCCACATGAATTCACATCCACATCGCGTATTTTTGACCAAAATTTCCCCTGCGCCCGAGTGGGGCGTTCAGCCAATCAGCGAAGAGAGAGAGAGCAGAGAGAGCAGAGAGAGCAAGAGAGAGGAGAGAGAGCCGTTCGCGGGTATAAAAGCCGACTGCCTATGGTTTCAGTTCAAAAATCGAAAAACAGCTCTTGCCACGTTCACATGCTCGCTCGCAGCTCGTCGGTCCGCAGCCCAAAACCAAACGCATATCGATTCTGAAATAAATATTTCAAACACACTGGATTAAAGTGTTTTCCAACCGAAATCAAGTGCAAAGCAAAGTGAAGTGAGAAAAGCATTAGCTAAATCGAACGCAACCAAATATAAGAAAGAAAGAATCTTTTTCGAAAGAAACGTAGATATTTTTGAAAACCTCGCAACAAGTACCGGTACGACCGTGTAAAAACCGCCAAAATTCTACTCAAGGAGCGTAAAGCGATCATCTCAAGAATGAAGTCCCTGACGGCCGTTTGTCAGACAGCAGGTGCCTCCGGCATGCCGGCCCTGAATCCCAGTGGTCGCATCACCCGCCATCCTCCACACCGCGGCGACGGCGAAAATGCCGAAATGAAGATGTATCTCTCCAAGCTTAAGGATCTGGTGCCGTTCATGCCCAAGAACCGAAAGCTCTCCAAGCTGGAAATTATCCAGCATGTGATCGACTATATTTGCGATCTGCAGACGGAGCTGGAAACACATCCTGAGATCGGTAACTTTGATGCCGCTGCCGCCCTGACCAGTGTGGCTCTCCATCGGGACGACGATAGCGATATGGAGGATGATGAGGCGGAGGAGATTGATTCGGATGCGGATGTGTTAGCCCAGCGCCTGGCCGCCGAACAGCCGGCCAAAGTATCTAGTCCCGCCGCCCGTCTTCCGCTCAGCGACCGCCAAACGCCCAATACCCTTGTGGCGCCACCGGCCCAACAGCAGCAGAATCAGCAACTGCCACAGCAGCCAGCACAGCAGCTAACTAACAGTTTATCAACGGTGAGTCTTGGGTTTATAGATGTATCTCAATCTCAACTTGATGATTAGATACTTTGTTCTACTTCGGGGGCTATGTAGTTTATGGGAATAGTATAGGATTTGGTAGAAACCGCAGCTGTTGGCATTTGAAATGCAAATTTGGGAGACAATTGAGTGTCAAAGTATTCAGTGTTTTTACTGTTTTGTTATTTTCAAGTGACCTCAATTTTATTTGCATATTCCTTGGGCCTATTTGTTGGCCTTTTCAGACGACCTTCATAAGGCAATCAGTTTACTATCTTTTTGGGGCCTAAAGTATCTGCTTCTAACCATAATTTCATCTCAATTTTATAGACATTTCACAGACATTTCTTTTTAATTTTTTTTTTTGTCGTCTATATGTAGTTGCGGTTGTTGTCGCCATCCATCCATCGGTTTCTTTCTTTTGTGTTGCCTATACGTAGCTGTTAATTTTTTTGTTTTTTTTTTCTCGCGGCCTTTTTCTGTTGTTGTTGTTGTGATGTTTTAAATGAACACCTGCAGATACTTAAATTTATTTCACATACAAATACATTCGCACGGTGAGAGAGACGACCCACATGTGTATATGTGTGGGGCTCACACTCTCCCATACATACGCACTGTCGAGCTTGAAAACGGAATTTGAAATTGGGGGGAATCATCAGTCTGTCTTGATATTTTGCTTCGTTGTTGTTGTTATTGTTGTTGGCTTACTTCATTAGCGCAGCTTCTTTTCTTTTCGATTTTTTGTATTTTTGGTTATTAATGATGCTGGCGAAAAATTTTGTTTTAAAACCTACGAAACAGGTTGATCGCACAATAATACCTAAAATATAATTTTGAAAAATGTTTAGCTGGGTGGCCCCTGCCAGTATTGTTCATTTTTTCTCCTCTTTGGAGAGGTGATTAAAGCCCCTGCTCAGAGCCCCGTATTTCGTATGCGTAGTGTGGCCCTTGTTTTTGTTGCCAAACATCTGCAACCTACACGCCCCAAAAAAAAAAACCATGAAATGTGTGTATGATGTGTCACCAACAACAACAATAACAACCTCAGAATTCTTTCGAAAACACGCATATACTCACACACACACTCACAGACATTGGGGCACTTTGAAAACTGTAAAAAGAAATGCACGTGTTCGAAATGTTCTCTCTGTGGGTTGTTGTTTGAGTTGCTGTTTCTTTTTTTTTTTTGAAATTTTTTTTTTTCGCGCAGCTGTGCGCCAGTCGCCACTCGGTCGCTTTCCCCCACAGATCCTGCCCCCGCCGCCCCCTCGCAGTAAGGGAGCAACAGAAAAGCAGAGAGAACAGATCACTGAAGAAAAAATTTCCATCAAAAAAAGATTTAAGATCTCAATATAAATAGAGAATCTTTTAGAAGATTTTAAATTAGAAAAAAGGCTTTTTTGTCAGTGCATAAGAACGCAAACAGAACCTCAATGACAGCTCGTTTGATTTTCTTGGCGCCTCAAATACTGCCCTCCCGCCTTTCGGTTCTCACCCAGAATCTTCAACAGCGGACTGGGGAATTAATTGATAACGTCCCACAAAATATACTAATAATTTTCAAATAAAAACAAATTATTATATTTAAACAATCGTATATAAATACTAATTTGGATTTCCCTTTTTTGTCATTTTAGCAATCGAACGCGGAGAAAGATAGCCGGCAGTCGTAAGCGTGGAGGAGAGCCAGCAGCTGGATATAGAGCAACCTATACTATGGATAAACTTATTAACTAAATGCATAAACCATAAAACGTGTAATTAAAGTACAGTCAAAACTCCACTCGCAACCTTCGTGTGAAGATCTCCGCATAAAGTAACTCTCAAGATAAGCCAGGCCCAGGCCGGACTACAGCTCCCTTGGAAGTGGAGCTCGGCTTGGTCCTTTCACACACAGAAACACATGTTTAGTTTAAAGAATTAACAAAAAACACACCTAGATTTAGAGCATCGTAAGCAAGTAAACATTATAATTTACAATTTAACATTAAGCGCATAAGAATGAATGAAAGAATGAAGAACTTGGCAAAGCTTTAAACAATTTAATTTTTCCTTTATCGCTTGAAATCAATTAAGGCATATTTTTGTTTTCCTAATTTTAGTTTTGTTTTGGTTTAAACAACAAAAAAAATGTTACTAATGCAAAGCAAACAGAGATCAGCAATAAAATTAAATGGCCCCTATATATATTTAATTCGAATTTCGTATTATGATTTCTCTCCAGATAGTTTTCCTATTAATTTTAATTAACGAAGAAGAACATTTCCTATTATTGAATAGCCAGCCGATAAATCAGATAACCAGACTCAGCAAAACACTCAGCACACACATTCAAATTCATTAATTTATATCGAGTACGAGTACGTTTAGTATTTAAGTTGAGAAAGTTAATTTCCGAGCACTAATTTTCATAACACTCACCCCAAAAAACCACACATGCAACCTCATTTTATAGTTTTTCCGATCGTTTTCCTCTTTTTTTAATTGAATTAACGATTAATGCATAATAATAATTATCAGATATACACTAAAAACTATAAATATATATAATAAATATATGTTCTGTGATCTGTAGCATACTTTGTACAAAATGTTTTTTTTAGCATAATTATGCGATTTTATAATTATGATTTGATCCGCAAATACGAAATCGAAACAAATTATTAATCCTGATTCAAAACCATTATTTTGTTCTCATTTCGGTGGTTAAAACTCTATCATGATGTAAAAGAAGAAAAAACATTTAATGATGCAAAAAATACATAAATCTGAAAAATGAAAAAAAATGATTAAAAAAACATAAATAGATTTTAATAAATTACAAAAATTAAAAAATATTAAAAATTAAATAGAACATGGCATTTTCTTTGGGGAGGGTTCCAGAAACTGGTAGAATTCTTCGAGATACTACCTGGAAGACAAGTAGCCGAAGGCCTCCGCCCACGACCAGAGTCTGACGATATACCATTTCCCATGTAAACAAGTGCAACGAATTACCAACGGCAGCCGGAGAACAATGCGGTGGATGATAATGCTCAATGCCCCGGGGCCTCATAGCTCGGAGTTTTCTGAGCCACTTTTCTCACGCAGCCGCCGCTTTGTCATAGCATTGTTGTTGCCCATTAGGGGTTTTCCCACCCGAGCAGGTAAACCCGCCCAAAAGGGTCCCGTCCCAGGCTGCACGTGTGCGAATTACGGTCAGAAATATTTTCCATTTTCCGTTGAGAAAAATTTTCCCTCACTTTGGGCCAGTCTTTTATTTTTACTTTTATTGGTTTTTGGGTTTTTGTTTCTCGGGACAACAGTTGACCACCGCTTTGGGTGTGGATTTGGTTTTCGGATTTTGGTTTTCTTGGGTTTTTCCTCCCACTTGCACCCACTCTCATCCACATTGTAGCCGTCTCGCTCCCGCTATCTGACCAGCGAGCCTATTAGCGTTAATGATTGCAACTACAATGCAATGACCAATTGGCAATTGCGACTAGTCTCGGGTTGCCGGAGTCGCTCGGATCGGCGCAGCTCGGTGCCAGCCGTTCCATTCAAATGTCAATTCGGATCCAGGCCGGGCCAGACCCAACTCAGCCAGACCAAGACGTGGAGCGAAGCACCAGGAAAGTATTTTTAATATATAGCTATGGAGCGCTTTTCTCTGAAAGCGACAAATCTGTAATGCTCTATGTGAGCTCTAATAGAGGTAAGTTTTGAACTTAGAAAAGGTCTTTAATAGAATTTCTCTTCTAAACTAATTATTCTAAAACTTTAAAGATTAAACCTAAAGATCCTTAAGATATTCTTAAAAAAAAATATATAAAACTTTATCCATATATTTGAAGTCCAAAGGATCATCTTCACTGCTGAGGAATTTTACACGAATTCATCGTATGTAATAGCTTTAGAGGTGGGGGAGTTCTGGAAGTTAATAGTATTTTATGTCTGAGAGGTTTAATAATAGTTTTTAAGGACCTTATTTTTATGTATATCTCATAAATAGCTAATATTTTCAAAACCCAAACTTAAACTTTTAAATACATGTATGAAATTTAGTACCTAAGTCTTGAACTACCTTTATAGATAGTAACAGATAGTTCCTGGGGTGGCATGAACTCATGACAGTGTCTCTCATTAATTGAGCAATTATCTAATCAAAAAAAAACTCCCCATTCCATTACCGTCAAACCGCATTACTATTTTCTCGTTAGGGTATAAAAATCACAAGCAAATGTTTAAAATGAGAAAAGAAACAAAAAGGCTGGCGTGGTCGGTGTTCACAGGCATTGTCTACAGCGGGGGACACCGAGTGCCTCATTGGGGCACTCAGTGCGTTTTATTCGATGTCGACGTTGCCTGTTCTGGGGGCCAATGATCTCTGATTCGGAGCCAACTCTGGTATGCGCTAATTGTTTGCCCAGCTTGGGGTTTGGGGCTTTGGGTTAGGGGGAGAGATACCATACTACCTAGCTATTGGCCAGGTCCACGCGCAATTAGCGCGCTCACCTTAGTGGCTGTTTTTTGGTATATTTTTGTTGTTGTTTTTGGTATTAGCCACAAGCCTGTAGTCTCCACTGACAACGTTCGTTTCGGTTTTCTCTCATATAGTGATTTTTTTGGGTGCGACTGCTGTTGAGACGAGAAATCAGTGAAACTTGAATTACCATAAAAACTCGTGTAGCAGTCAACAGCTGCGGCAACTGCGCGATTGCGAATGCCGTCGCCTCAGACTTGGTTTTAGCCTCAGTCTCAGTCTCAGAGTCAGTCCCGGCTCAGCCTTCCAATGGCCGTGCCGGAAAATTTTGACATAATAATTGTCAAGCTGACATTTCCAACCACGCAGCTGACAGCTGAACTAGCCGGGCTCCTGAGCTCGCCGAATCGGGTTCGAAACTCTCCCATCTTAACACTCAAAGATCATGGTTCATAAATGTGTTTATTACCATTTTTATTATTGTAGTATTGTTCAAAGTTCAATGCCTCTTTGGCTAATCACCTTGTTTAATTTCATAATACTTTTAATTGCATCATTTTAAATTTTATTTCCTCTCTATTTAAGCGACTCTATAGGGTTAAGGTGTCTTTCGGCTGAGGTCTCCCAAATGAAAGCTAAACCACAATCAACTTTGGCGAGGTGCGCATAAAAATCGCATTTAATTGTGATTTTCACACGAAATACAATGCGCATGCGCAGCGCTGGTGCTGGTGCTGGTGCTGGTTGTGGCGCCGCTGCTTAGCAGAGGCGTGGGGGCTTGGGGTGTCGAGGTGCGGGGGGCTGCATACTTGATGGCAATTTGTGTAACTAGCGGTAAAGCGTAACTACTAAACAGTCCGAGACCGCTGGCCCAGGTGCTGGAGTAAAGGGGACTGCAGCGGGGGCGGTGCCAATGCCGGTGACGCTGTCGGTAACAAGTGAGTTGCTTTTTCTGCTGCTTGGTTGGTGGTTGCTTTTGGGAAACACCTGCAAAACGCAAAACGCACCTGTTTCGCTAAACAGCAACCGGCAACGAAAACTAAAACAAAGTCAGCCACCAACACCAACACCAGCAACGCGGACACGGCTCAGCAACTTTCGTGGATCGGAAAAGGGGTTAGGCGGTGGGTGCACTGGGTGCTGGGAAAAGGGGTTAAGGGGATTGCCGCATTGACTTTTGTGTAATTGAAGCAGCCATCTGTCTCCGGATTGGTGGGGCAGTGGAGTGCCACGCAGGGGGGGTCAACGGAAAGCGGGCCAACTGGGTGAGAGTTCCATGCGAATTAGGAAATCGAAACCAAGTCGAAATCGGAGTTGTACTCGCACTCGGGGCTGGGAAACACATGTAACACAAAGACACACCTGGGGGCAACATGGTAAGAGTCCAAGAAATAGGTCTTCTTTGAGCTTAAATATTGTATCTCAAGATATTCTCTAGCTTTCCATAAGAAAAACTATTAGCTTTTGCAGTATCAGGTGTACGGATCGGAGCAGCTGGCGGAAGTTGCAACATCTGCAGCGGAGTTGGGATCGGGATCGGGCACTGGGGTTAAAGCCGGACTTGGCTTAGAAACCAGAGCCGCGGCTTGTGTCCCGGCCAGCAGCATTGATTTCAGCTGCGTCACCACCCATTGTGGCATTGTCATGGGCCGAGAAAGGGGGTGGTGTTGGTGGTGGTGCCGTGGCTGCCACATGTTGGCCTAATGACAGCTCTGACTGCTAAGCCTCAGTCCCGGCCACAGCTTATGGCCAACAATGGCGATGACAATACCCAAAAGCTGCTGACGAGGTGCGGCTGCTGTTGCAGTTGCAGTTACTGTTGCAGTTGCTGAAGTTGCAGTTGCAATTGCTGTTGCTGCCTGACATTTGATCGAAAGACTGGCGCTGCCGCAGAAGCCATGGGTCACAGGCCCCGCCATCGATGACGAACTGCGGCGAGTGTCAAGCTGTAAATTAAATAGAATTATGCATAATTCCTTATCTCCAATTGAATTGTTGCTATTCAATCTTTTGTTCAGTGGCCCAGAGCCAGGGGCCCCAGGGTCTGACTAATGCGCCAACCGAGTTGCCGAGATTGATAATGCGATGGGGAACACGGCAACGCTTAGTTGCAACCTGGGGACCACCAGCAGCAGCTTCAAGTTGGTAAGAATTTCAGAGACTCAAGTCTATAATACCCTTCAAAAAATTAAAAATATATATATAATTATTAAATGGTTATAACATACTCATACATGTTCCTCAAGTTTTGGATATTGGAAGATTCTTAAAAGACTTATTCTTTTGACAGAAAGTCTTTCTTTTGGTTTTCTATAGTTTATATTTTATTTATTATATTTATTAATCTTAAAAAGTTCCTTGGAGATCCTAAGAAAAGTTGCTAAGTAGGCAACATATATTTTAATATTACTCATACGCCCCATATCCTGAATAGAACTAGACCTTATTTTTCAATAAAATGCCTAAAAAATCTTTCTTAAAGCTTTGCTTTGAAAAACTACCTCATTTGTTTTAGCCATAATTTTTAATAAAACCATCATACCCTCAACTGAACCCAACAAGTCCCAAGTACCCAAAATCCGACATTGATAAATGCCATCCCACGCCTTGCTGGTGTTTTGGCCAAAAAAAAAAAGCTAAAATAAATGTAAAATAATAAAAAGTAGTGACCAGGCTGGTGCTGCCACTGCTATTGGTTATTTCATTCATTTTCATTTCGTTTTGCTAATTGATTCATTGATCTTGGCGATATCGCTCCCCGGTGACCACCAGAGCTTAAGCTTCCTGTCCCCCGCGTCGGCTATGGCTTGGCTCGAACCGGACCGATCCTGGTGCAGATCGTAACATAATTCTCTTGGCGAGCTGTGGGTCCAGGCCAGAGTCGCATTCATTTGCACGCCTGTCCACTTGGCCGTCAATTGTGCACAAAGACATTATTAGCCGTCTAGGAATTCAATTCCATTTCCATTGTCGGCCCGGCCAACTGGCTTTTGAGGCTTTTCTGGGGGCTTGGTCAGGTTTGTTTTTTTTCTACCATTTTTTTTTTCTATTTTATTTTTTATATATTATGGTGTGTTGTTGGTGTGTTCCTTGGGTGCTGCTGTTGCTATTTTGCTGTTGTAGCTGCAATTTGTTAAATTGACAAAAACTTTTTGCGATAAACTTGGCGCGTTATTAAATTCAATAAATTTTGCTCTTGGTCTGCTCTTGCGGGCTGG